AAATCCATAAATTAATACAAAATTATTCACCAACTCGGGTCAAATTTGGAGATATATATTAATATATAGTGCAAAGAGTTAATGTTTACGTTGTAGTGTAAGCTCATTTGACAATAATAAACGATTATAATGTCTCTATATATAATACCCTTTCCGTATTAAATTATATATTACTATAATTAATTTACAAGAAATTTTAATAATATTTTTATATTACATATGGATAATTATCAAACTCTTTTATATTCGACATGTAATTTTTTTTTTTTTTGTAGTTTCATTAGATAAAAATATTTTCAATTATCCTTCTTATAAATTTATTATTAGAGTTATGTAAAAGTTAATTATAGTAACAAATAATTTAAGATAAAAGGAGTGCTAATTTGTATAAGTATTTACTTGTTAGAGTTAAGCGTAAATCAATATATATCTATTTGTTTAATTTCGTAACATTATATGTAGCATTACTGAAGTTCATCTATAATTAACAAATAAATTACAAGTTAGAAATTAAAATTATTTTTACTAAATAAAATAAAAGTATGTTATTAAAAATTGAAAAGTAGTGTGAATGAAGGTGTGTTTTATAACAATTAAAAAAACAAAAGGTGTGTTTTAAAGAAGAAACAACTCTCCGGGCTATTGTTGTAGGCCCTCCTTAAACGAGAATGGACAACCAGGTCCAATCTTCTATGGCCTTTTTGGGCCTAATAACTTTGATGAGCGTTCAAAGGCCGAAGCGTTGATGGATTCATGGATTAGGCTTCTAGAATAGTGCATTAATCATTTCTTTTTGGGCCTTAAAAGATCCCAACATGTTTAAAGTCAAACTTCAAAATTTTCTTCTTCTTTTTAATAACAAACTTTAAAATTTTCTCAATCAAGTATTTCCTTTTTATTTTCTTTATATTCCCCACTTTTTATTGTGTACTTGAGTGTTGGTTGTGCAGTAATTCATCAGCATTTCCTTAATAAAACTCCTTGCATCCTCATTTTATTTTATTTTATTTTTTATCTTGGTTATACAATGAGAGACAATCATTTCTTATTTTTTATTCCACCCCACTCGCATGCCATGTGATTTGAATTCAAGATCTCTTACTTTCAGCAGAAAGAGATGACCACTAAACTATTTAAGTTGTTAGCCATTTTAATTTTTAAACATCAATTTTTCTCTTCCCTTTTAAGAATGTTTGGTGGAGAGATTTAAGATTAATGGTTAGTGATATCAACTAATTTAATAAATAAAAATATTTTAATTATAAATAAAAACAACTATAAATTGTTAATAAATCCATATTTTTTGATGTGGTGAGGTTGGTGGCATTCTTTTTCCATCTAAAATAGATATTTTCTCATATGATATAGAATTTCAATATTTTTAAATAGACACATTAAATAAGCGAGTATATATCAATTTAGGTCTCTCACTAAATAAAAACAATAAAAATTATTTCCACATTACAGTTATGAGGATTTGGTATTGACATATCAATAAATTATTTTTATTGATTTAATATAGACAAAGTAAATAAATAATATTCTCGCAAGAAAAAACTTCGAGAAGAATGTTACCAACACGTGGCCTCACGCTGAGTGAGCTTGGACTCCGGACTTGCACCTGATTGGTGAGGAGTTTTTTTTTTCTTTTTTTTTTAATGTATTTTTATTTCTATTTTTATAAAAAATTTACCGTGTACACTTAGGATTGCTGTAATTTTTGCTATTTAGATTGATAGTCAGAGTATTTAAATGTCTTCAAATTTGTCTGTGCTCGTATTAAAGAAAATTAAATTATCTTAAATGTTACTCCCTTACAAGTAGTACTTATTTATTTACATATGGATCTAACCTTAGGCTCAGAATAAGAAAGAATAGTAGTATTATTCAGCAAATGAACTGCAAAAATGTACCACTGAGAAGGAGTAAACCACAATTAGAAAAAAATAAAAAGCAAAATCCTATATTGAGTTTCCAAATTACCTCTTTTTTTTTTATTAAACCACTAAATTTTTATTGGAAGAATAAGTTTTAAATTTAACAATTTAGGTAATTTAATTATTTTTTACGATAAACTTAATACTTATTTTGTCTCACTTATATAAATAAAATCAATATTTATTATGTAATAGTATATTTGAATTAAGAGAAGAAGAGAAGAAGAAAAAATTTTCCTTTCCCATATGTTTTTTTAATTTAATTGTTTATTTAAATAAGAAAAAGGGATAGGAGAAAATGGAGGGGAATGAAGGAGAAAATTTCCCTCCCTCCCCTTTTCTTCCATTTCACTCAACCTAAATATAAATATAGGGGCAGGCAATAAACCCTTATTTAGTGGGTATTAATTTTGTCAATACAAACAAATCACAAATAAATTAAGTTCATTATGAAAAAAAAAAGTTTACTTATCTAAATTGATGAATTTAAAGATTAATTTACTTTAATAAAAAATTAAAATCTTAATTAAAGATCAAAGATAAATTTATGACTTAACATAAGATTTTTTCTTAAAAAAATTCCACATCTTGGATCTTTTATGGCAAGAAATAAAAAATTTATAGACTGACAAAATCCATAAGATTTGCTTCCAGATTTGTCACGTTTTACCCGTTTGGGATGTCAGAATGTGTAATTTTGCTAACAAAGTAGAGGCAGTTTTGTACTTTCAGCTTGCCTCGTAATCTTCGCCGACGCAACCTGTCTTGGATTTTAGCTTCATCCAAAAACGCGTGTTCAAAATTCATATGACGAAAATTCGCC